CTCCCCATAAATAATGACCAGTCCCTTATAAATATTTTTAGCACGCAATTTGACTGGTTGCAGAGCTCAGGATATCCTTGCACTCACTATATTCACCTCCGGACCACAGAGGCCGTTTTGTTGCCGTTAGCTACAGCCTGAACAAATTTTCCTGCTAAAAAAATGAAGTTGCGGTTTCGCCAAACATGATGAAATGCACAAAGTTTTGTTTAACAGTGTGTAGAAGTATTCTTTGAAGCTATTTCTAATAAATAAAATTACTAAAAAGCGTGTAATTAGTGTTTTGTTTACAACTATTACGGGAGCTGAACTACAAATTGTTTTAAAAATCCTTTCGTTGTTTCTTTGGTCATTTTTCTTTTGTTGTGTACATGCTAAAACTCAGTGTCGGTGAATAGTGAAATATATTCGCCGAAACGCGAAGCCTCCACTTCGGTGAATAATTGTTAAATATCTCTATAGACAGAGGTGAAATAAGCTCAAATGCAAAGTCCTGGTTTATGAATATGTAAGTCTGCCGTATTCAAACAATTTTTTTAAAAGAGAAAAGTTCATAGGTTTACTCATTCTCTAATATGTATTATTTCTGCTTTGTTTTTACATACCGGCTGGGTTATACTTCTTGTTGAAGTTGTCAAAACGATTGAATGTCTCTTCCCCCTGATTGAAGCAAAAAGGAATATTGCAGTCAGTATATAAGAAAGAAATTCCGAATTCCAATTTCAACGAATATAAAGTTACTTGGTACAGTATATTATTTCGTAAGCTACTTACTGCATGAACATCCAAACTATCCACACTAAGATCGTCAGGACTTAGACCAAGACTGTCAAAGAACTAAAATAATCAAACACAATCAACATAGTCAGGGGCGTTGTACATGCATGATGCATAGTGTCAATTTACTCCAACATTAAAGCTGAACAGATCATGGCTTATACTATAAGAATTTTTCTGGTCTACAATTATTTTCAAATATTGCAGGCCGAATGCTAGGTTTGACCAACATATTTCAATATTGACCTACACATTCACAATTTTTTAAATGTTCCTTTGCATGCATGATGTTTTGCGATTAAAAGTATTTCGGAATGTTTAGTTTTTGTGTTTCTTCGCTGCCAAAACCTTATCTGACCAGCCATTCGGCAAGCCGGGATTTCCAGTGTTTAAAACTGGACGAAAAGTTGGCCAACAAATTATGAAATTGTAGGCCGCTATTTTTTGGCCTACAAAACTGATTTTTCGTATATGAAGATTTGTCATTGTAGGCTGTTAATTCTCACTCAATTGCAATGAATCACTTTATGGAGTTGCCCTACTCCTGGGTGTGTCCTGCATAGAATTTACACCAGGAGTATTGCCGAAAAAAGAACCGGCCATGCAGCATCAAATATTCAAATTGAGTTTTGGTTTGCACATTTCTGCACGTCGGTTCGTTTTATAACAAGATTTTTCGAAAAGTGGGGCGAATTTGTTTTAAACTTTACCCTAACCTAGGATTAAGCCAATCGAATTTCGAATAACCAGTACTATCCAGCGATCATAAAGTGAAACATTTTATGTACTATATAAAACATGAGCAGCAGTGTTTTATCAGATATAAAGATACGAGGCGAAGCCGAGTATCTTTAGGTCTGATAAAACACGCACTGCGAATTGAATGTTTTAAATTGCTTAAAAAACGATCGATCTAGTAAGTTCATTGGCGAACTCATTTTCAAAAAATACGTTGTGTAAGTCGAGAAAATCAAAGTTAAAGTTTATGTAAATCAAGGGAAATCTCTATCACATATAAAGATACGACACGCTTATTATTAATGAGTTTTTGAATTTTTTGATTTTTTATTAATTATTAATGAGTTTTTGAAGGGTAATATGACACTAATTGCAATGTAAATTAATTAAAAGTAGGGAATCTTAAATCGATTTTCATACCTCAAGTATGGTCAACTTTTTTCCATCTTTCTCCGCCACGATATCATCGGGGCTATTCTTAGCTTTACGTCTCATGAACTTCAGCAATGAGTATTGACTCATACAGGCAGTTGCGTGGATATGTGTGTCAACCTGACAAACATTAAATACAACGTCAAAATGGATGTACATGTTCAACTTAAAGGACGTTAGCAACGGAATCCTAACATGGAATCCCAGTGGTTCTGGACTGGGGCTTATTAGAGGGCGGGGGGGGGGGGCGGAAATAGAGACTGGGGGCTAAATAAATTTTGATGGGTTTTAAAAACATATAATTATATATATAATTCACAGAACTATCATTAGAGAAATATTTGGAGAAATCTTCGTATAATTTACCATTATTTATTCATATCCGTGAATAACGCTATACAGGGTGTATAAAAAAAAAACTGAACAGATTTGAAATTGGTCTCAATTTCGCAAATCACCTATTTGTATCCGGTTTTTTATATATATAGCTTCTTTGGGTACTTATAATGTAGAATAATGAAAAAAATTTCTTGAACTCAAATTTTGTGAACCAGGGGGGTGTGTCTTTTCCAACAAACTAAAAATGGCTCGCGCACAAAATTTAAAAGTTGTAATCATATTTTGAGTTAATAGATGGAAAATTGGTCGGGTTTTTAATTACTGTACAAAATTTCAGACAATTTGGTTTAGTTTAAGCCTTTAAATATTCACGCAAAGTTACATTTTTCCTAAAAATCAGCTATTTGCATGCTTAATTAATGCCTTTGCCTAATTTGCATATGTTAGCAATATGCAAATTAGGTAAAGGCATTAATTAAGCATGCGAAAGGCTGATTTTTTAGAATAAAATGAATAGTTAAAGGGCTTAAACTAAACCAAATTGTCTGAAATTTTGTACAGTAATTAAAAACCCGACAAAGTTTCCATCTATTAACTCAAAATATGATTACAACTTTTAAATTTTGTGCGCGAGCCATTTTTAGTTTGTTGGAAAAGACACACCCCCCTGGTTCACAAAATTTGAGTTCAAGAATTTTTTTTCATTATTCTACATTATAAGTACCCAAAGAAGCTATATATATAAAAAACCGGATTCAAATAGGTGTTTTGCGAAATTGAGAGCAATTTCAAATCTGTTCAGTTTTTTATGATACACCCTGTATAT